CGGCTCGTCCGAAACGCGCTGCCCGGCGGTGTTCGTACACAAGCAGTTCAGTCAGAAAACACTCGTTGGGGAAGAAATGAGTAAATTCCCGCTTCGTTTATGAAGGAAGACAAAGTTAACTGTAGGGTTCTTCCTTCCAGTTGTTCTTCCATCTCTTTCGGCAAGGGCAAGGGAGCAAAGAGGTTGCCTTGCGATGGGGCGCGGCGTTGGTTTACCACTCGCTGCCTCTTCGAAGGGTCGTTACTTGATCCTATTTGAAGCAAAAAGGGCGTCTCCCCTTCTGGATCGCTCTTGCCAGAGCCGGTTCCAGCCGTAACTGCGTACCGGGCGGATCTGGCAGCTGCCGCGTTCTTGAAGGACTATGTGTTTAGTTCAGACTTCATTATTTTTGGGACTAGCTCATCCTTGGTGCATTCATATGCCTTAAATGAGATTTCAGACCTGCAAGACCCTGATCTCTATAGCAAGTCGTACATCAAAGCAGAGATGTAGAAATCCAGAGCTTTTTAAGGACAAAAAAAGTCTCCGGCTGGGCTGACCCAGGAGTACTTTGAGCTGCTTTGGTACCTCATCTGCTCCACGTCTCCCACACGCTGGTGGGAGAGGGGAGAGCAAGCAAGGGGGACCCGTGTGAGCGCTCCTTTAGCTCGTGTCAATAGCGACAGAACCAGTTGTTAGCTAAAAGTACCGTCATCTAGAGCAATAATGTGGAAGCATATGAAGTGCTGGTACCAGCGATGCATTCTCGTTGGACAACCTTCCCCGTGGTTTCTTGGTTGGACTCGATGATCTTAAGAGGTCTCTTCCAACCTTAATGATTCTATGATTCTTTGCAAAAATCTAAAGCCTGGTCGTGGTGCGGCAAAAGGGAGATTACAGAAATCACCATCAGTGTTGCTGCAACACGGCTACCATCTTGCTGCTGCTGTTGGAGAAACGCGAATTTCTCGGGACCTCTGAAGATACGCAGCACCGCTGCCTAACCTTTGCGTTAAGCTGTCGGAAGGTTTTGGGACGGGCCGCGCTCCGAGCTGGGGAGCGGGTCTCTGCTGCTTTCGCCTCGTTCAGGCGTTGGTGTCGGACAAAGCTCCCTTCGGCCCTCTGGGCATTTCCACCCACCGGGACCTGCTGGGGGGGCAGCGAAGCACCGGGCTCTTGGCGTACACTGTCCCCAAAACGCAGCTGGGGCCCCGGAACCCCCAGTTAGAGCCATCCCAGAGGAAGATCAAGGCGTGGAGCTGTGGCTACAGGGAAGATCCCCAGACGTGCAGACTGTAACCCCGGGGCTCAGACTGACCCATGCTCCGGGGTTAATATCCCCGCTCGCTTATAAAGAGCTCTGGTACCTGCTAGTGCCGTAAGTGACACAGCCCTCCCTCTCATGACTTTCTCAAAAACTGTACTGGATTCAAATTAACACTTTATTTCTATGTAACACCTGAAAGAACACAGCAGAGAGGCACCATAGAAATAAGCGTATTATGCAGCAAGTCAGAAGACTTAATGTTCATCGTGTAAAGACCTGGCTGTTTAATTCTCTCTCTCATACATCTTTAATTTTTTAATTTTTTTTTTTTTAATTTAGAAAGGGCAGATGTAGAGTTATTAGAATCGCTCCTATCTTAAGTCTGATATACACGATCTAATCTCGTGGGGCGTGATCCAGCCACAAACAAGTAAAACGTCCTGTCGCTTCAATACTGCCTGCGTACAGTTTTGTTTTCACATCAATTCAAAGGCAATATTAAAACGTCCATTTTGTTTACCTAGTTAACAAGTACACTTGCAATGCTCACTTAAGTCAGCATGCCATTTCACAGGCAATCCAAAGCTGTTACTGATAAATACAACACTATATAAAAAACTTAATGGACTTTTTATATCTTTGCTGTTGCCTCTTTTTATTACTCTCGCTCCTTTTCCGTTCACCGTGTGAAGCTCAGGCACCGGTCCTCTGCTGAAAGACAAACACTTCCAGCTATAACCAACACTCAGGTAAAAGCATGTTTTGTTCAGAAACGCCTGTCGAGCTGTACAGACAAAATTGCCGTGACATCAGTGTGGTGTCATCACACCAGGATCACATTATCTACGCTTTGCGGGTGACGAGTACGACACTAAAGGCACCTAGTTACGACAAAACCCTATCGAAACTACCTTGCCACCACTCTGGCTTCATCTCTGCTCGCGGGTGCATCACGCCCTGCACACCACCAGTGCTGCCGCCGGCACCCCCAGGTTGTCCCCCCTGCACACCCGAAGGCCAGGTGCACAGAAAGGTCAATTTAATGCAGAAGTGAATTGCAAAGATAGTAAAACAACCTCCTCTTAGTTACCTTTGTAAGTGACTCCACGTGCCGCGTATGACATCTTCCCATACATCGACTCCCTTCCAATGCATCTCTGACGCCCAGCTCCCGGCTTTGCATCCACTGTGCTGAGCTAAAGCCGATCGCGGAAGGACTTGGTCCAGCTCTGCCTTTGTAGGTAATTTCACACCACGTCTGTTGGCTGTAGCATCTTGTAAGTGCCTGAGGACCCAAACCCGCAGGGAGATGCTGATTTATTGGCTCCAAATAGGAAGACAACACTCTAATCCTCCTCACGTTGGCATGACTAAAAAGGCATCAGCCTTTCCATGATGTTTTTCCACCGGGCTTCCTCTATTAGATGCTTTTTTCCAGGGAGGTTGTGCCAAAAGGCCTCTGGCTGCAGCTGCGCTTACGCCAGATTTCTTGTGAGAAAGTGCCATCCCGTGGCTAAGCGTGAAATCCTTGCTGCTTCGTGTCTGAAAACTAACGTCGGGCAAAGCCACCTCAGACAGCGATAATCCCGGTACCATAGCACAGACGTGCTGCAATAAGGCCAACTGCCGACCTCCCATCCTCGCTCATCCCCAGCCTGCACGGCCTTTCGGCAGCAAATCTGAGTTACAACAGTCCAGCTCCCACATCTTCATTAGTTTCTGGCTTCCTCGTAGTTTTACATGGACGCTTAGTTTTTATTACCTGTTCATTATTGTTCCCTGGGGGACAACTGTTGCTGTTTTTCAGTGTTGGCAAGGTCTGGCTTAATCCCAGGGTTTGGAAGTTGAAGATGACATTAAAATAAACAAACAAAAACTAATCACCACCCTACTGTATGGAGAGTTTCACAGACTTTCATCTCAAACCAGAACTGCTGCTGAAAGGACCCTTGACGTGACCGTGGGCAGAACTGTCCCGCCTCAAGCCTCTAATGCAGGAGAACGATAGATTTCTGGTGCGCTGGCCCAGACACTCGAAGTTGGACAGCTGGAGAGGTTTTTGTCTTGCCAACTCAAGCCCATTTAAGTCCTGAGCATTAGTGGAAATCAAGCACATTTAGGCATTTTATCCACAAAAATGGAGAAATAGAAAACACTACCTTTATTTTTCTATTTAATACAAATTAAATTTTAAGCTGCTTTCCAGCTGGGTGGCCCCAGCGTGTCCTGCTGCCTGGGGCTGCTCCTCCCCAGGGGCAGGACTCGGCCCTTCCCCTCGCCGAACTTCACCAGGTCTCCCTCGGCCCATTTCTCCAGCCTGTCCCGGTCCCTCTGGACGGCAGCACGACCCTCTGGTGCATCAGCCACTCCTCCCACTTTGGCGTCACCTGCCAACTTGCTGAGGGTGCCCCCTGCCCCATCGTCCACGTCGTTAATTAATGAAGTTGTTAAACAAAATCAGACCCAGTATTGACCCGTGGGCTACACTGCTAGTTTCTGGCCCCCAGCTAGACTTCGTGCAACTGATCACCACCCTCTGGGCTCAGCTGCCCAGCCAGTTTTCAGTCCACACTTCTTCAGCTTATAAACTCTAATCAAGCCACATAAACTCTAATAAAGGTTTTTTATTATTATTCACAGACAGTTGAGCCATATATTGAGCTATATTAGTGTCAAACAGCGCTGTGTCTGTAGTGACAGCAGGTCTAGCAAGATAAATCCAAGAGAGGACTCAGTCCATTCACTGCCTTGAGAAATAGCTGAATATACCAATAATATCTCTTAGAAGAACTTACAGCGGAGATGTCTTTTATACTTAGAAACCACAGGGGTTGACATGGCAGACTCAGCTGGATGCCAGAATCCTCAGATACTGGTTGGTTGTTGGACTAAGGGATTACCTTAGATAAATGTATTAAGCCCAAGCTCGGGAGCAGCTATTTTCCCCTCCTCAGTAAAAGAGTCTACAGGTAGGCCTTTAATTTTCCTTAACCAGGCCTTCTTGCATGCTCTTTGCTGATCTTCTGTGAGCTTTGTCTGGTGTGCCCGATACTGAGCTACAGTAGCTGCCTCATGCACCTCCTTCTGTTTTCCTGTCAGAAGCCTGAACCCACCGTCACTCCGGGAAGGGTCTGCAGCATACGGACAAAAGGCCTTTTTTCTCCTGGGAAGGGCTTCATTTTTCATTTGTGCAATCAACACACGTGTTGATTTGATCAGGTCAGAAGAAGCTGTAAAGGGATCGATAAGCTGAACCCTATCTTTGG